AACGGGTCTCTCGGCTAGTTATCGATGGATTTGCGTGAAATTTGGTATCTGGGGATAATATGACCCGAGAAAAACGAATCCGGAGTCAGATTGGTCGAATTCTGGCGCCCTCTCAAAATGGCCGCCGGTCAAAGCTCCAAAATGGCGGAAAACGAGTCTTTCGGTTAGTTACCGATGGACTTGCTTGAAATGTGCTAACCAGGGGTAATTTGACCCAAATAAAACGAATCTGGCGTTAGATCGGTCATTCTGGCCCCCTCTCAAAGTGACCGCCGGTTAAAGCTCCAAAAATTGGGGGGGGGGGACAATTCTGTTGGTAATATCCCGTTTCCAACGGAACGGCTGCAAGGAAGTACCTTCACCCACTGAAATCATGAATGCGTAGCTCCTAGCTCATTGTAAGTCACGGTTTTTGACGTAATTACAACTTACAACTACCCAGGACTCACCACGGGGAGGTGGCTACGCGTCGAGTCCCGCCCGAGCCTCCCCAACCACCCAACCATTGAGGCACAACAGATTTGGTTTCGATCAGAACGGAAATCTATCCCCGAGCAAATGAAACGTAAAGTAAAAATTTTCTCTTAAAAAACCGGGACGAAAAAAACGTAAGGTTCAAATATCCCCGAGCAAATGAAACGTAAAGTAAAAATTTTCTCTTAAAAAACCGGGACGAAAAAAACGTAAGGTTCAAATGATGACATCTTCAAAGTGATTCCTCCCAGTAAAGGAGAAAACTCTACCAGACGACTGCTGCGGTCACGCCACCGTGTTCCGAGCAGGTTTCCAGTTGAGCTTTGTTCTCCTTCAATGGAGGAAACAGCTCTCAATCAACGAATGGAAGCACCGAAAATAAATACAACAACAAAACAACGAAAAACAAATAACAACACGAAGAAAAAAGAAAAGAAAAGAAGGGCCACAAAATTTGGTGATAAAAAGTTCTTTCACTTCATTCCGAATTCGTTTTCGAAATGTCCGCCGTTTTTAGCTTGGCAATTCAGGGATGAACATTTTTCAAGAATTCAGAAAAAAAAGAAAATTTTGAATGTTTTGGTAGAGGTAAGTTACTGTAAAACTAACGGAGGTCGTAGTATAACGTCAATTTTTTGTGCGAGGATATTTTTTCCAGCATCATTTAAATGGATGCCGTCTGGATTGTAGTGGCTCGCGGTCATCCAAGAGTTATTCATGAAAATGACGTTTTTATTTTTTCGCAGAATGTTAAAAACTCGTCCGTTGATTTTATTAATTAAAGCATTAATATCGTCTCCGCCTTGGACACCTATTCTCTTCGGTATTGCGACGTAAATAACTTTGTTTTGGATAGTTTTAAGATCTTCCAAATCCATGCCGTGAAGAATATCGTGAATTTGATCGGGACTGAATGATTTGCTGGAAAGGGACCACGTATCGTTTGTACCGCCAATTATTACCAATACATCGTCTGGGTTAAAGCTGCCAACCTTCATAACTTCTTTTTGCGGTGCGCTCGGCTTAAAAACACGATCAACTTGATGGCCAAGTTGGAGCAATCGCTCGGCAAGATACCGACCGTGACTATCGGCCCGGAGGACGATTCGACACATTGTTTTTCAAACTTTAGGAATTGGGAAGTAGTAAAAAAGAAAAAAATTAGCAAAATGCAGGAAACACGAACACTTAACTATCGATACTGGTTATTCGTCCCACAAAATGACACTCTGACACTCAAAGTTCTCTATCAGCGACTACTGATCCGCGCGGTTGATGTCTGATTAGCGATAGTGCTGGCCGCGAACCTTATCACTGAAACTGGGATCAGGTGTTTACCGCAGCCGATGAGCACAGCGACACATGGGCTGAATCAAGCACAAACAACCTATCCACCGCAGTTTCCTTTGGTACATAGGATTTTTTGGCTTGAATCAGTCCGCAGTGTCCAGCGACTACAAGCGCATTATTTGTGAAAGGAATGTCACCAAATGATCAGCTCTCTCGCCGTTTGTGGTACTTGCACTTGTAGTACAGACACGTGAAGTGTTACTTCCTCTTGAATCATTTTGTGCTCTGTTTATTTGGGAGTTTCGACACTAAAATACTAGGAAAGATGGCTCGACCTAACGAGGAGAAGGTGGATATGATTTTTGCTTATGGTGAGGCTCAAGGAAATTTAAGTCAAGCAGTACGTATCTTTAATGAAAGACATCAAAACTCCCCACCTACGAGTCGTGTATACTTGCGGAGTTTGGTAGATAAATTCAGGCGGTTTTTTTCCGTCAAAGATGCTCCTCGGTCAGGACGGCCGAAAAAACTCGCAGAAGGTGACCAAATTAATTTACTTGCTGATGTAGCTGTGAATCCAAGGCAATCAATCCGTAAGCTGTCTGCTCACCATGAAGTTCCCTACGGATCGGTGCAACGGTTACTGAAACTCCACAAATTTCACCCATACCGAGTCAAATTAGTTCAAGAATTGAATGAAGATGATCCTGACCGACGTCTTGAGTTTTGCGAGGAGATGGAGCAACTCATTCACGATGATTTTGAAATTTTAGAGAAAATTTGCTTTAGTGACGAAAGCACTTTTTTCCTTAACGGCACAGTCAATCGCCATAATTGTACATACTGGGCCACTGAAAATCCTTTCCAATTCCGAGAATCCCATACACAGACACCCCAAAAAATTAATGTCTGGTGCGGCATACTGGGAGATAAAATAGTCGGCCCCTTTTTCATGGAGGAAAATCTCACCGGTCCTCTGTACCTGACCCTTTTAGAAGAAGCAATTGTCCCCCGAATAGTTGAGATAGTGGAAGCATCTGATCAAGATTTCGATCCGTGGTTTCAGCAAGACGGAGCCCCCGCTCATTTTTCTTTAGCTGTTAGAAACTACCTAAATGCAGAATTTCCAGGACGGTGGATTGGCCGGCGCGGTGCCATTGAGTGGCCTCCAAGGTCACCTGATCTTACACCTTTGGACTACTTTCTCTGGGGACATTTGAAGTCCAAAGTTTATGAGACTGCACCACAAAGCATTCAAGAATTAAAGCAACGGATAGTAGATGAATGTGCCAAAATAACCCCTGAAATGCTGAGAGACGTACGAAGCGCTTTCCAGGATCGGTTACTACATTGCCAAGCTAAAAACGGCGGACAATTCGAACACGAATTCGGAATGAAGTAAAAGAACTTTTCATCGCCAAATTTTGTGGCCCTTGTTTTCTTTTTCTTTTTGTTGTTTCTTGTTTTTCGTTGTTTTGTTTTTGTATTTATTTTCGGTGCTTCCATTCGTTGATTGCGAGCTGTTTCCTCCATTGAAGGAGAACAAAGCTCAACTGGAAGCCTGCTCGGAACACGGTGGCGTGACCGCAGCAGTCGTCTAGTAGAGTGTTCTCCTTTTCTGGAAGGAATCACTTCGAAGATGTCTTCATTTGAACGTTAAGCTTTTTTCTTCGTGTTGTTATTTGTTTTTCGTTGTTTTGTTTTTGTATTTATTTTCGG